AATATCATAGGATGAGCAAAAGCACACTCAAAAACAGGTTTTTCAGTAAACAATTGAAAATCAAGCAAAATACTGTGAAGATTAAAGCGGATTTCTAGATGTACTCGAAGCGTATCTTTGATTTCAGGTTGAGGTGAACTCTTTTAAGTGAGAAACTAGTGTCCAGGTCAGCACGGTCAAAAAGCTGACTGTGTCCCTTCAACTGATAGGTGACGTTCAATTAAAGTTTGATTGGCTATAAACTATCTTTTGGGACGTTGAATAGGTACAATGACTTGAAATATTTGAAACAAAGTGTGTGCTTCAGACATCAGTCAGGCTGAATTTGTGATCAATCAAGTGAAGTTGTAACAGTGGGTTCAACCATTTCTGGCTCTGCTACAAACAACACTCTCACATCTGAGCTTTCATCACTGCACAACACAACAAAGGTCAGTTAAAGATTTCAGAAGTAAGCTAGCACTTCTGCACAATAGAAAGGGACTGACAACAACAATGGAAATAACGTAATGATTCAATAAGTGCCCGTCTTTTTAGTAAGTGTCCAGATTAAGGTGGCTCAAAACAGTTTCCAGCAGTTAGATCTTGATGGGACATTATAACCAATATTTATCACTTGATGCTACAATCACGGTATCAAAATACTGCCCAATCATTGGTGAACACGTTATCATTTTCGTGACACAATAGGTTACCATAGCAACAGTATGACCTAGTAAAAACACCCTTAATTACAGCTTTAGGGGCTTGTAATTCAAAAATGACACGGAGAATGCTTCAAATTTACGCACTGTCACTTACCGGGTGACCTGCAGAAAGAGTCCCAGGCGGGAAGCCTGGGGTGGAGTGTTTGGTCTAAGAAGGCCCCAAACCACTCTCCCCCCTCCACCACCTNCAAAGAAAAAAAATTGTCACACTTCCAAGTTTGAAAATAAATTCACTCTTCAACATCTCCGGATTTAACAAAGCATGAAATAAAGAGGTTAGGTCTGCATGTCAACCTAGAGGACTGAATGTCTGGTGTGTTTGTGTCGAGAAAGATTTAAGTACGCGTAAGATAAACTCTTTAACATCATAAACTGTTGACGCGATTCGCGCGCTACCGGCCGGTATCAAAGTTATTTCCCCTTTTTGACCAATTAGGCAAAGCAACGATTCCCCTATTGAATAGTCAACAGTGAATACTAGTTACATACAGCTCCTCAACAAGCTACTATTCGATTTAAGTACATCAACACGATATTCACTACAGACAATTTCTGCTTGCTAAGCAAATAATATAAAATGCGGTTTGAGGAACTTTTTACTTTAACATAAATCTCGGCTGATTTCAAGGCCATATGATGCATGTTAACTTATGGTTTGTCCATTTACGAGTTCCCTTTTCTAAAAGCAAGGTAATTATTTTCTTTAAGGTTAGAGATTTTCGATTATTTATAGCTTACAGTGGATAAGTTAAATAAAAAAAAAAACAATCATCAACAATTCTCTCTGAGCCTTTGAACTCACTTTTCCGATACTTAGTTCAATGAGTCTTATGGGAATTGAAAAAGCAATTAGAGAATGTTTCCAAAGAAATAACCAATGTGCTTATCTTGTGCTTGAAAGGTTGAGATCAGTCAACTTTCTCCTACGAAATGAGCTAAAAAAAGAATTCGCCTTGTCAGTCAAATTCTTTATTACAAAGAATCGTAGAGCTCTACGAAAATTTCTACGTCTAATCGAGCTTCATAAAACGGGCTGGGTATAACCTTAAGTTTTGAAAATTTAAGGTAGCTCTGAACCCTATGCACAGAATTATTTTAAACCTTGCCAAAAGTTCCTTCTTATCATGCTTATTAAAATTTGATAATACAAAAAAATTTCCCCGTGCCGTTTTCTAATTATAAGCCCTAAAAGCTGTAATTACGTGTGTTTTTAGCATGTCCTACTGTTGCTATGGTGTCACGAAAATGATAACGTGTTCACCAATGATTGGGCAGTTTTTTGACACCATGATTGAAGCATCATGATCAAGTGATTAAGAGTGGTTATAATGGCCTATCAAAATCTAACTGCTTGAAACTGTTTTTAGCCACCTTAAAATAAGTACTTCCTTGTGAGAAGTACCCCCATGACAAAAGTGGCATCTAAGACAATTACTTTGGTGTAAATTCATGACACATTCGGCACATAAGCGCAAACAATGCATGAAATATAAGTTTTATAATACTGAACTCCGCACATACCAGCACGATGATGGACAAGGAACTCAAGATATCTGCAGGAATCTCTCGATACCGCTAGCTGTGAAATCAGTCCAAAAATTAACGCTTCATACAATAATTATCTTCAGATAATTACCTTCTAAAGAGCGTGAACCTTGCTATGTGCTTCAGACATCAGTCAGGCTGAATTTGTGATCAATCAAGTGAAGTTGTAACAGTGGGTTCAACCATTTCTGGCTCTGCTACAAACAACACTCTCACATCACTGTGATTCATCATCACACAAGCACAGTTTGCTAATAGATCAGATGTTGCTAGTTTTTTTTCGGCAGGACCTTGACACTTCAATTTGAATTTGAAAAAAAAAGATGGTTTTTAAACATTCAAGGGAGTAAAAGAGTAAAAATGCTAGAATACTCAACCAATCATGAAAAATTGCATCCAGTGTTCACACTACTGCTGTTTTCTTTTACAAACGTAGATCCCGGTTGCACGACCATGCCTTTGCACCAGAAGACAAATGATTGACAGCTGACAAAAACAAAAATACAAAACTTCTTACCTCTTATATATTGTTACATTCCACAGGTAACCACACGGAGCTGTTAAAAAGAAAAAATAAAAAAAAAAAAAAAAAACAGCAACAGATGATTTCAAAATGTGAAGAGTGCCAGAATTATATGAGATGTCAATGTTGCTCCCACACTTCTCATGCCAAGTTCAACCACCATTCTGCTCTTGCACCAAAACCAAACTAAATGCAGCAAAAGAAATCCATTTGAATCAGGGTCAACAAGTATGTCAACTAAATCGACAGAACTGGGTTGACAGCAAAGTGGTTTTTGAACCAGGCCTGAGATTTTGAATCCACAAATCAAATGGAAACTAACAGCAAAATAAAAAATATATATATCAACAGAGATCTAGAAAGAGGAAAAACATATTTAATATAATCTGAGTAACTTGTAATAAATGGTGGAGATTAAAAAAAAGTAATGCAAAACTAGAATGCTAGGTTTTATTTGTTAAATCGGTATTTTCTTCTTGATGATATCCATTTCAATTGCTAGTATTTTCACATGCACAGAACACTGTAGTACTATAAAATAGAAGTAAATAGCTTCTGCATAGTTCTAAGGCCATGTGCTCCAAGCTCTTTCCACCCTGGCTCCATACAGATGCAACAACTCAGGGGTTCCATTTTATCAAAACCAATTCACCATGAACAATTGTGTTAAACATGTCCTCGTGTTCCACTGGTAGTAACTAATGTTGTAGTATGTACAAGCTCACCACAGGAAACAGGTATCACTTCAAACAAAATTAGCTAACGACTTAAATGCAACTTAAATTGACAAAACAAGTTGAGACTGACTTTTTCAGAAGGAAAAATGCTTCATAAACTGGCATAACAAAATTAATATGTTACTTATGTACCCCACAATACAATGCACTTAGTAAGAAAACAACCAAAGTGAACTGTGCAGCTCACAACTCAAGAATTTGCAAAGTTCTGAAGTCAACAACAAGTAATATTCTTACTACCTTTGTTTTGACCGATAAGAACTGGCTTGTTACGGAAAATGCCCTTACTGAAATTGCAGTAGAAGATTCTTTTCATGAAAGGACGAAAAAATTTTACAACTTAAGATAACCTGGGTGATTAGTTTTCGAAAACAACTTTACAGTTCTTCCTAAGTTGTAAAAGGTAAGATTAAGTCTGCACACGAGAAAAGGGGCCCATCAGCCTGGAAATTATCTCTAGTTTCTGTGGCATTCTGTGGCATGAAGTGTCTACAAGTATTTCTTCTCNCCCCCCCACCCCGCTTGGATGGGTTCCTAGTCCATTCCAGGATTACCCCCAGCATTAAGTTTGCTGGTACCCACTTTTACACCTGGGTGGAGAAAGGCACTGTGAGAGTAAAGTGTCTTGCCCAAGGGCACAACACAATGTCCTCAGCCAGGGCTCAAACCCAGACTGCTCGACCTGGAGGTGAGTGCACTAACTACGAGGCTGCTGTGCCTCCACAAGTTGTACTCTTAAAAATTTAAGAGGAATATTAAAATGAGGATAAACGATAATAGCAGGAAAGGGGCAATGATCTCCATATATTTTTCCTAAAACAGCTATCAGCTTTCCATTTTATCAAACATTTTTTGTTGACTAAACCTGGAGTATTAAAGGAAAGTTTTAAGTAAGAGATAGCTGAGATAAAAAAAATACTATTACAAAATCAGGTCAAGCTTTGCTGAATGAGTTCTTTGTTTTTTTCGCAATATGCGCTTCACAGATGTATCCTTACATACCAGCTTACAGATCTTAAGAACATACAATACTTTACCTTCAGTTTGCAATGTACATCGCATGGACAGAAATGCCTTTGACATCAGACACTGAAAGTTAACTTGGAAATCTGCAACTTTTTTCAAATTTTTGTCTGCTGCTAAAGCAATAGTTAAATTGCATTTAACGAATATTGCTTATGCTTTATGGCTTGCAACTTTGCTGATAAAAATTCATGCTTGTTGCTGATAATAATTTCTACTAATTGCAACTAGGGCTCAGTCCTAACGCTAATATTGTGTAACTTTCACTTGTCACAAACTATAGTTATTTAATGCTGTTATATCATTTCCACTTTAGTACGGCATTTTATAATCTCTAAAGTTTCCGAAGAATGGAGTTCCTGAAAACCAATCTCTCCATCAATATTACACCCAAAGACTTAAAACATTTCTCAATCATGGTTGCCACAGACATCACTTTTCAAAATTCCGACTTTTCCCTAACAAAAATAAAATTTCCGTGACCAAATAAATCCAAAATGTCAGATCTGGTAGCAGCTACTAGGCTCAACCTACAGCCGTCCTTTTCACTCGTTTATTAAGACTGACAAGTTTTCAACAAATTTTCTTTCTTCATTAAGGAAAAATATCGTTGAGATCACAGTGACCCCATGTTCCTTTCAGCCTTCTATGGTATTAAATCAGCCATGCTAAAAGTTCTCAAAATGTCAATTTTTCTGACTCCAAATAAAATTCTGACTTTTCCCTGACCAAGAATTTTTCGCCCTGACCATTTCCTGACCTGTGGCAACCCTGTCAATTTACAAGCTTCACAGGCTCTTTAATTGTCAGTTCGCTTAGAGAATAACTACTGTTACATATGAGACAAAATGTAAACAATGACACCCATATAACAAATCAGATGAAATCCTTAATACAATTGCAGTGCCATCTTGTTGACACAACACTTCTGTAAAATTTAATGTAATGTACTGAGCTCTACTTCAAATCAGAATTCTGCAGCCTTTGAATTTTTTGCCTCCTTGATCATCAACTTGAAGTTTTTTTTTAATTCAAATTTTCACAATCATTACTTTATCAACTTGAAGTTGATAAAGGTACCTAAATGGAGGATTGTCAGTTGCGTGCATGTTTAACTACTTATTGACCCAGAGTTGGCTCTTTATGGGAAAATCTCAAACCAAGATCTCGCTGTATTGATCAAGCAGTAGTAAGGTCAATATGGCAAGGCTAAGGTTTGAGATTTTCCTGTAAAGACCGACTGACTGAGGTTAATAAGTTGTTTACTGTATGGATTTTTGCTATATTTTAGCAGGCTCATAATTGACCCAGGGGCATTGCACAAGAGTATTGCTCTAGAATTAGTCAATCAGAGTACACATTATATCAGCAACATGGAGGCATGTTAGCAGAGAATGCAAGAATAAACTGATACCATGGGAGCCCACAGTGCTAACTTCAAAGTGTTACGACTTTCAAGGTCGCTGTGATGAAGAGAAAGCCTGCAAAAAATTGTTTCAAAAGCACACAAACCCACAATCCTCCATCTTATTTTGACAAGGAGCTGATTCTAGAAACATCAGCTTTTCCCAAACAATTAAGCAAGTTAGTGATCATCTATTAATGTTTTACCTGCTTGCCAATAGGGCACAACAATTTCTTTTAAGAAACCAATCACTTTATAAATCTTATGGATGACATTACCGAGTCTTTTGTCAACTACCAAAAATAAATATATACCTGTACACATTATGTGCAATACACAAATTTATACATCCACATACCTTCCTTCATCCATGCGGTAACATCCAATGGAACACAGTTTCACTTCTGTGAAACACAATTAACATATCTGCTGCTTTCTCCCTGGGTTAAAATTCTTACTTATTGCATGAAACTCTTTCAATTGTCAAAAGATTTTTTTCGCAGCACAAGTAAAACAACAATTTTTTTTAAAAGCTGCTTTATAAAACTTTCACGATATCACATAGCTCCAATTGGTTGTAGTTGTTTGCAGGACACTAGGAACAGACAGCCGACACAATATTGCAACTTTTAAATTCTTTTGAAGTCTCTCTCATGTTTACATCAGACTGTAGTGTGTGTAAACATGTGTCACATTTTCCATTTCCTAAACTGAAATTCTTATTTATTTGACTGGCATAAAAGTCAAATAACGAGAGCAAATATCTCATGCTGATTGATACTTTGTAGTCATTTTTCTCTAGTTCAAAATGTCACATGATCAAAACTGGACTGAAACAAAAAGCACTGCATGAATTGTGCCAGAAGGTTGGTATCAGTCTCTCCTCAAATGATCTTTTGCTAAAGGCTCACCAAACACACTGATGTATAAACACTGATCATTCTTGAAGTGTCTTGTGAAAAGAACAAGGAAACAAAAGTAGTCACAGAACTCTGATGAGGAAAGTACCAAAATATCTTGTTTTCAACTTTCTCCGCTCAAAACAATTTAACATACGGCTGTTTCAACAAAGTTCATCCTGCAAAAACCTATAACATAGCCAATTGGCATTATGGGTAGTGACAGTTTGTCGTTGCTTGGTGGAGGTCCACAGTTTTTCAGTAAGAAGGAAGGAGAAAGCATGAATACATATGTTGAATGCTATCTCCTTCTGTCACATCAAAGCAATATGAGCTTCATTCAAGCATTGGAGAAACAGCATTACCCAAGATACCTTGTGACATTGTTACATACGCCTTAATGTTCTTGCAAGACAACATCTGGCAAAGCAGCTGTATGGGTCAACGCCCCATCACTTACCCAAAGAGGCTCAGGATTATTCATAAGTGCAAAGTGATACACCAATTGCTCCAATCTCAAATCATGTAATTTCTTCCTGACAGAATGGCTACTTCACAACACTTCATGTGACAGTGCTCCATTGGCATCATCAATAACCCCCTCCCACTCCATCCCCTTTACAATTTTCTTACCTGTACATCCAAACCCTTTAAACCTATTTTTTTTTTTTCATCACGTATTTTAAAAAGTAACTTAGCAAAAACATACAGCAAACAAAGTGTCTTTAAAGAAAATTTAAATACTCCATTATCTGGTTTATACATTTGCTGTGTGGGAATCAGAGGAAGAAACCATTTGTTGATATGTTTTTTTTTTTTTTACAAAGACTTAGCAGCTGGCAGCTCTAGCTACCTTGGGGAGACTGTTCTAGAGAAGAGCTCCATAGAGGGAAGAATTACATTTCACATGGTCAGTTCTTGGCATTGCAGAAATCGTAAGATAACCTGGTGCAAGCATACCATACAGGCCTTTTGCTTTACTCTTCTGAATAACAGTGTCAAAACCAAGTGAATTGAGAAGAAGCCTAAAGTTTTTGTCATATCTTGACTTTGTTGTAACCATGGCAGTACAATTCTGCAGTTTCTTACTTAACTGTTGAGACAAGCCATCCCAAATAGTACTGTAGAATCTATAAACTGATTTTAGTGTTTAGTTTTAAACGCACAAATACTGGAAGCACCTTTTTAAAGATATTCAAAGAAGTGTGTATATCTAAGGGATGGTCATTTCGGGATTGTCAGAGCTGATGATCACAAACTCAGGTTTTTGTAACATAGCCCCCAATCTCAGATTTTCATTAGTAAACATATAGGCTCACTGTTTCCGTCAGAGCGCACCATTGCAGGAATCCCACGCTGCAATCAGAGATGGCCCCCAGAAAAATGAGAAAAAGGCCAATTTGGCCCTTTCCTTTTACAAGACTTCAGGCTTAACACAGGCATAGTATTTAAAAGCCATCCCAGGGTTCAAAATTGTGACCAATATGGTCACCGACACAACTAACACTTCATCCTTGACGACCAAAACTTCTGGTTTAGTAGCCATAATGGCAACTACATTTCTCTGTGTTGACGATTAATAACGGCTATTTTGTCACACATTATGTCCTTCTAGAAAATTACATTGAAAGATCTTTGCTTCTAAAACATTCAACATAAGAAAAGAAGTCAATCCGTCCTTCTGCTTTGTTGCAGTTTTGATTCTTGGAAAACTTCCAAATGGCTTACCATGTATGAAATCACCCTATAATGAATTGCAAACCCTTGATCATTGACTACATCATGTATGCCTAAGGATTGTTCTCTTGTAATGCACAGATCCTTTATACTAGTATCTAATTCAAAAGAAACTTTATTGAGTAGAAACACTTCAAAAAGCACTTAAAATTTTATCATAGATCCTAATAAACTGCTTTATTTTCCTTGGTACCCTGATGTATTTTTTTCCCTCTGTAGCTTTCAATTTATTGGCCCCTTTCCTAAAAATTTGGCCCCTAAAAAAGGTCTTCAGGGACCACTTAGGCCCTCAAGTAAAATTTTCTTGCTGAAACACTGCAGGCTGAAGCTCAAGCTCTGCTGCAGCCATGTGACATGCCCAAATAGTTAAAATATGAGACTAAACCCTCCTCAGCCCTCAGATTCACTAAAGAGGAATGCTATGCAGTGCATACAATCAATGGTTTCAGCTTCCTCCTGCCTATACACTCAGTACTTTGCTGTTGAATGCAAGGGGTTAAAAAGTTACATGGCATTGTAACAGTGTTCCTAATTTGTCCTAATTCAAAGCCCCCTTTAGAAACCCGCTTGAATCTTCTAGTCTTGCAATAAGATTATTTCTGAAAAGGAAAACTTAACACAGGTCTGTATCTTGTATATTCTATTTTCATTTGAACATGCTTATTTGACTTTAAAAACCCAACACTGTTATACAATGTAATCCAATCAAATAACATTGACCCTCCCCTATTTACAATGTTACATTACAAACTTTATGAATGACTATTTCATTCTAATAGATCAGACTTCTAGTGATCAAGTAGTGAGCGTCTCTCTCTCACCTCAACATTCAGTGTAATCAATGATAAGATGAGTGTTATCTGCCATAGTCAACCAATAACTGCTTTATTACATAATGTTGCAAAGAAGGTAGCAACTGAATACTGGATGACCACTTCACTCAATCCTAAAACATTGGTGTTTCCTTCAGACTTCATACCATTTTTGCCTTCAGATATTCTTTCCATACTTTCTCACGTTCCTTTGTGGAATTTTGCATTTTCCACATCTACATTATCCTCCATAATTTCATTTACTGCTGAATTTTCGGGTTGGAAATACAACCGAGAGGAAACAACACTCTGCAGCTATGCAACTACATTCTAACAAGAAAGAATATATCCAGAATTATCTGTGGCCCCCAGATTGGAGCATGAGCCCTCAACGTACATAAAGAAATAAACTGCTCTCTACATGGGAAATTTAAAGACGATTTCATGGTTTGAAAAATAAAGATTCCATGAAGAGAAAAAAAAAATAAAAAAAATAAAAATAAAAACACTTTGCATGGCAAGCTTACCCAGCAACTATTTAAAGTGGGCTAATACTTTGAAGGGGAACTGTAAGTTAGGTTAACAAAAAGTAGGGGTTAAATTGGTATTCAGATAATCAGGTTCACTGTGATAAAACATACTCCAAAAACACAAAACTTGATGTGCACAAAGAAGATTAAAATGTCCATACAAGAGATAAAGTCCTCAAAAATAAAAGGCAACCTATAAAAGAATGAGATCTCTCTTTCAAATTGTTTGCCATTTATGCCAAGACGTTAGTCAAACTGTGTAAAGATGAATATTTGGATTCTGGTCAGAGAAAAAACTTTTTTCTCCAGTCCTACTAAGTCGACCAATCTTAAAAAAAAAACATTTCATATCAAATCCATTAAAATGTCAAGTTTTAATAGTAGTTAATTATATACATATTGATTACAGAGTAAACTGAATAAAAACCATATATGAAAACCTCATGACAATTCTTTCAAGAAGAGTCCTTTGTCCATTGTCATAGTGAGATGTGTAATTGAATTTGATTAACACATGAAACTACAAAGATTGAATGAGCAAGCACATCTTAACAGTCAACAGTATTCTAAATGAAGATTGAAATCAGCCAATGAACTTGCTTCTGCCAATACGCAGCACAGTCAAAAGAACTTGGAAACTAACAAGCACTAGCAAGGCTTCTTGATCCTGGCCAAGAGTCTAAAAATTATGATCATCGTCAATGTGGCACAAACACAGGTGGAAACAACGGCTTAAAGAGGTAGCGCCAGGCTTGACTAATATTGAACTTCCATACTATTGCTATGTTAATCTACAAAATGCAATGTTATAAGATTTGTAAGAGCCACAAGATTTATTCAAGAACTTGAAACCTTCACACAGGATAATAAGCTTTAAAAGTTATTTCCCCACTAAGAGAACCCTCAAAACTAATGCTGATAAATAACATTGAAACAGTCCTTTTAAATTCAGTTTCATGTCTTACATGCAAATAAATGGAAACTTACTTAACAAGCTATTTGTTAATGAGCTAAAAATTGTTTCATTGCAGTCCTATTTTGCTTAACATTATATTTGCAAATTTCTCCAGTTAAAAGACCAATCTTTTGTGACCAAAAGGTACATCTAATATAAATCAAATCCTTTCAAGTTTATCAACAAAATGTTAGTGCTGGTAAGTAAAATATTTTATGGCAACATGTTCCACTGCTCTCCATTGTGTCATCTTAAAGTACCACTATTCCCACTAAAGGCTCAATGTTTTTGGTCTTGTCAATCAAAGCATCGATGCCGCCAGAATGTAACAAAGTTTGTGTGAATAGTGCACTGTTTGTGCCTAGTAACGTGGCCTCTTGAAATCTCCATGATCTCTTGAAGGTGGCTCACGTGAGCGTGCAGCAAGTCGATCTCGATCGACCATGTCACGATCACGTTCTCTGTCATTTTCAAACCTTGGCCTCTGAATGATTATTAATTAAAGTTCAATGATATTTTGATTGCAATGTTCATGGGATGATCCGTGAATCCAATGGACAACAGAGAAAATCCAAAAGGAAAGATATCCATGGTGGAAGATGGCAGCAAAAACAGAAAGCAAACATATCATTAGAACAAATCAAAGCAACATTATGGTGCTACTCTAGGTGTATTGCTATTTGACATGTTGAACACAACTTCTTGTACATTGTATCATGTATCCAAAGAAAGTATCATCACTCACTGTGAAGCAGAGTCGCATCACATTTGTCTTAGTTCTTCATGTCATTTTTAAAACACGCTTAACAAATAACTGACAATAGAGTACAAGTCGTGTAACAAAGTTTCTAGATGTCTGCATGGACAAGGTAAGTTTTGAATGAAAACAAAACACTGACAAAAGATCCCTTCTTTGCTTTGATGTAACATGCACAAAAAAATCTTGGCCTTTAACATCCCCCCTTGAATAGCTTTCTCATTAGTGTAAAAGACACAAGGCAATAAGATAATGGCGATTTTGAGATTCTCTTCTTTTGGTTCCTGTCTTAATTTAAAATGGCTCTAGACAGTTTTCAAGTTACTACCAAGAATGCCTTTCCTACAAATGGAATAAGCACTGTGCTGTTCTTTGAACTGAAAGCAGTTATTGCCCATATCTTGCTCATTTGGCCAGCTTGAAGCCTATCTTCTGAGAGGTAAGCTTGTTAATAAAACACTATATTAAACAAGTCAATTCTAGATGTGTACCTTACCATACATAAATTTCTTAAGCGATACAAACTTACGCAAATGATTGCAAAGCTCTTGAACTATACTATTCATAACAATGTGGTATTTAGGTCACATTTCTTGCATTTTGCATTGTTTTCTTTGAACAATTTGTAAGACATAAGAGCCTCTCATAAGCTGTCCACTGACTATAAACAGTCTTTTGCAAATAGCATTTCACATTCTGAAATCTAATAGGCAATTGACAAAACATCTCACTCAAATCTATGAAATGGATTGTCTCATCCATCTTGTAGCGTGGCAAAAAGTATTAATAGCACTGTGGCAAAAGCAACAGCTATTGTTTCACTTCTGACCTTGGTTTTTTTTATCAAGTGATAATATGTGATCTTTTCTAATGAAATTTCTGTTAACATCTAGTGTACAAGTAGCAATCAACTGCTACATAGAAAACTGTTCTACACACGCGGAACACTTTTTACCCTAATCTATATTGCAGATTATTCAATGCAGATCCTAAAACATTTTAAAGTTACATTTTCAGAATTAAACTTTGTCAGGAGGCTACTTGTCCTCATTTACTACAAAAAGAAGAAATGATTTCTTCTTTGCTAAGACAGACTTCCAGTTGGCAGATTGCATTCCTGGTTTTCCATGAAGCTGTTTTACCATTTCAATCAAGATAAAAAACAGTCCACAATTACTGACGAATATTAAATCCAAAACTTACCCCTCCATTAGGTCGCATGCCAGGTCCCATAGGTCCACGTGGGCCTCCAGGAGGTGGGCCTCCCATAGATGGTGGGCCTCTAGGAGGCATCATTCCTGGGCCCATTCTGGGAGGGTTCATCATGCCTGGCTGACGAGGACCAAAACCTGGTCCACCACGTCCTGATGGTCCACCACGTCCTGATGGTCCACCACGTCCTGGTGGCCCTCCACGTCCAGGCGGCCCTCCACGGCCAGGTGGTCCTCCACGACCAGGTGGTCCTCCACGGCCAGGTGGTCCTCCCCGGCCTGGAGGCCCCCCACGGCCAGGAGGGGGGCCACCTGCACCCATTCCCCAATCTCCACCTGGAGGTCCCTGTTGGCAAGCACAATGTTCTTAAAGAGGCTACAAAACAGTGTGGTCATACAGAGACTGAAATGGTTTCCATTCAGATAGACTGGCTGTAGGTCAGTTTGTCTCAAAATCAGGTCTGCAGTGCTCAGAAATCCTTTGTGAATCATTAAACCATAATTTGGGTAAAAAGGACCATAACCCCAGATTCCTTTTAGAAACTAAGGCACCAAGAAAAATATAGTTTCCAGGTTGCCCATTGGGCTAGTTGGAGCATTGTTTGCTAGCAGAAAAGCCTTTCTTGATAGCTCTACTTCATCTGCAAACTAAAATTCAAGTCCAAAAATGTTACCCACTGGGCATGCGACAGACAAAATCGTAAAGCCTGACAGGAAAATCCAGTAGTCCCTCATTTATGGACAGTATTTTCCTTGTATGCTGTAATTATTGTAATATCAATGGGGCAAAGGATGCATGTAACCTACCTTAGAAGGCATTCCTGCTGGAAAGTTTGTATCCATTCGTCTTAAAGATTCCTGAAGTCAGATTGAATTGGTAGAAAAAGATAATGCTTCAATTATTTTACTGGATAATAATCGGACACTAACATGGAAACAGACCTCAACCAGTAGACTTAGCACTTAGAAAAACGTATTTCAACTACACTAGTTCAGAGAAAAAGTTGAATGCTAGTTTGAGTACAGTGGAACCCTGTTAATCAGGCCACCAAAGGGCCACAAAAATCTGGCCGTATTAATAGTGTGGCCGTGAAAAAGGGGTTCTGTAGATGAGAAAGTAAATAAGAAAGAACTTTTTTCAGGCCAGAATAAAACTGCCATAATAACAGGATGACCATATTAACGGTGGGGTTCCACCGAAACTCATGTGCAGTGCAATGCGAAAACTTCTTCTTGCACTGCAAATAAGCAAGATAAATCAATTCCTGAACTGTTTTTACTATTTAGCTGCTCAAGAGCTGCCCTACCTGCTCATGATTACCTGGTGCATCATGCACAAACAGTATTCTTCAATACTATTATTCAATACATGTATATGCCACATCAGAAATGGTTTATTGGCCAAGCCTAGTTGGTCAAGATGGCTGTATGTTGCATCTCAGTCCATAAAAAGGCCAATATCAAGCTATCATGACCTCAAGCCTGGTCAATAACCTATATATCGCAGAGGTCTGTGGTACACAGTAATGTTAGTCAGTAGCTGACATCTTTAGTTTACAGTGCAACTTCAATTTAATGAACCTCTATTTAATGAAGGCCTCAATTTAACTGACGATATTCTTTGACCCAGTAATAGTAAAATACACATGACAAAGAACCCTGATATAATTAAACCCAGTGATGGCGGATGTATACAAAAATCCCAAAAGATAAAGAAGCTGACCTGTAAGTACATATCTTCTTGTCTATGCCTCTGAAGCTCACGCTGCTGCTGCCTAAATAGCTCCTCCTTACGGCGAAGTTCATCTTCTCTGCGCTGCAGCTCATCCTGGAGACGCATTTCCTCCTGTCTCCTAGTAAACAGTGGACAACAAAAAATTAAACACTGGCAAGGATTTTAAGCAGTGTCCATTTGTTTCATTGTTTTCTTATCAAAACCTCTCTGGTGTAAACGTTGTGGCTCAATTTTACCCTTGGTACAAATCTGTTATTTTCCTTCGTTCTGGTGTACGATAAGATTGTTGTACTGTTACAATGTATTTGAAACAAAGGAAAATACCAAATTGTACCAAAGGTGATATTGGACCACAACAAATATTTATCACACTTTCATGCAAACCAGTCAATCCAATATTTATGAAAGGAGAGCTGAATCTATCTCCCTTACCGCATCTCTTGTTGTCTCAACATCTCTTCCTTTTGACGTATCTCTTCAAATCTGCGCAATTCATCTTGACGGCGTTGAATTTCTATAAATGATAAAACCACTTTGTTAGCAACAAAAGAGAATGTTGTTATGGGTTACTTGTACCAGCTTGAAGTTTACATCTCTCAGAAGCCAAAACCTATGCATTAGTTTCTTCAGAAACTTCATACGGTAATTCCAATGTAAGACTCATCACCGAGATGCAGCTATTCCTTAACCAATTCCACTGAGGAGTTATAACATGCAATGTACATCTGATTTTTTTTCGAAGTGTGTGTTTATTTATATTGTTGTTTTCAATTATTATCATAAACTGAGTTGGGTTTTCTACAATTTTATATTACTCCAAGAGTGATCATCACCTAGCTTTCCCTAACAACATCAACACATTTGTCAAGAAGACACATTAAAAGATCAAAAATAATACAAAATGCAATCATATTGACCAGAGGGAAGCAATGCTATGTAGTCATCAAGAACCAGACTTGTTCCTGATTTTTAGGGCAAGAAACATCTTATCACATCTGTGGAATACAGTCTTGTTCAAATCATGGAAGTCGCAAACAGAAAACCAAAATGTGAAAAAATATGATACTATTTGATCATTACATGTGATGCTATAAAGTGGTTTTTACATTCTTTAAGTTTTTAAGGCAAAAAATTGTCACACAGAAACCTTGTCTCATCAGCACAGCCTCATGTTCCTGTATGGCCTGATCCATTTCTGACTCTAATTTCTCCCGAGCTTCCTTGAACTGCTTATCCAGCGCTTCCTTCTGTGCCACTTCCATTTCTTCCAATGCACGCCATCTTTGTGCCCATTCTGACTCAAATGTGTTTGGTGCTACAAAGTGGGGCTGGGCTTCTCTTTCCCTGAAGTACAAATTTTAACCCTGTTCAGTATCTTTTGTCAACTTACAGTGCCAAAACCCAAACCTAAAACATGCTAAGTATTTAGGATTCAGTAGCATCTCTCAGAAGCCAAATGGTATTCATTAGCTTCATCAGAAACTTCATAAGGTAATTCCAAAAACAGCAATATCATCATCACGATGCAATACTCTTTATATCGTTTGTTACTACAACTAGTTACACTACATAAGTACAGGACTTTGCAGTTCAACATACACATCATCACTTCAAAAGAAGAGTCACAGACATCTCTCTGACTAAAACTTGATTTTCAGTTTAAGACCTGTTGAAGTTACATTATGATGCATGTCTGCATCTGAAGGTTAATAGCACATCAGGTTGGAGCTTTTATCTAGTTGGCATAGCAAAATGTGAATAAGAGTAGCACAACTCCTCCCCTTGCCTATCACAGGGCCTGTCATAGCATTCACCCATTTCAGCCTCAGTCTATTTAAATACACCTGGGTGAAGACAAACACTGGGGGAGTAAAGTGTCTGGAAATCTGTGTTCAGAATCAAGGAGACACCATTCTGTATTTTCTGGGAGAGTACGTTCCCGGACCCCCTTAGAAAAGGGCACCTCCGGCGACGATTGCCAATTGGGGTAGCAATGACACTGAACATTCCTGCAGAGCCAAAATCAAATTCAAATAGGCCAGGATATAAATCAATGCACTGAAGATCCCTGTCCCATGTAGAGGACAAAACCTATGTTTCTGGGCAAATGCAATTTATCTACCAAAGATGGTCATGAATTCTAAATGATTGTGCCCTAGAAGTCAGCTCAATTTCTTACTTTTGAAAGGCAGGATTTCTTTTGATATGTTCATCTGAGATGCCATCCTCATCTTCCGTATGCTCTAACTGTTTAACAGACACAGGACGTGGTATCCTTGCAAGTGGAAAGAAACAGAGACATAAGGCACAATGCAAATATCAGGTTCAAAACAATTTATAATCAAAACCCAGACTCTCAGAAGCCAAAATTTATACACAGGTTTCATGAACCTCATACGGTAATTCCAATTTATACACATTTCATCACAGAGTCGAGATCCCAAATCACATTGAATTGGAAAATGGGTTAACAATCTTTGCAATCACACACAGTATTGGTGATTTCAATCTCCACAAGGAAACTAACAGAAAAGTTAATGTTCTTTTGAACACAGTTAAACAATGTCGTGATTTTCTGTAGGATTGACAAAAGATAAGCATTTTAATTACCTTCCAAGGAGAAATAATCCATCATTGATTTGTTGTAATGCTTGTTGAGCAGAATTCTTTCTTGAGAACTCAACAATGCCATATCCTTTCGTTCTTCCCCTATCATCGCAAACAACAACAGCTCGCTCCACGTCACCAAACTGTGAAAATGCTTGATGCAAGAGTTCATTGGTGACTACTGGTCCAAGATTAAGTACTTTAAGAGCAGCGGCATGTGTTGCAAACCGTACCCGCACTGTCCTTCCCATGCGAAATGAACCATCGACTGCTTGCTTGGCAGTTTCTGCATTGAGACGTGTGTCCTGGCAAAAGAAAAAAATTAACATTTCTTCACCACACAAAAAAGTAGAACTGTGCTAAATGTTAAGTACAGGTGAACACTCACATTCTGGTAAAGCATTCTCTAATTTTGTTTATCAATTGATTTCTATTAATTTTTTTTACTATTTATCTCTTTTCACTTTATTTTTTGGTTTGGCCAATGACGATGAATGAAAATTTTGTGGTGAAATATAACTGCAAATAACACTCGGCTAAAATAATGCTGGGTAGAGCCCAGCTATCACTACTGGTACAAGAAGGTGTACATTATAAACACTGAGAAAGCACAAGGATTGAAATATCTTGATCTTTGTGCCTTCATGTATTTGTCCACTTCGTGTTTGCACTCAAGTTGCCAACCGTCCTGACCAAACAAGCTTGGTCAGTAACGTATGCATGGTCAATTTGAATTGTTTACACAATGGTTTTCATAATAATGTATGTATTACACATTTTACATATATTATGATACATACTCTAAGTGCCTTCAAAATTATATATTCAGAAGTATGGCTAATATACTAACCATTCTGACAAAGCCAAATCCTTTGTCCTTGTTCACAAACACCTCTGCCACCTCTCCATACTTTTCAAACATTTCTCTCAGTTCGGTTTCTTCACAGTTCAGCAAGTTCCCCACGAAAAGTCTGCATCGACCAGAAAACTTCCTTTCTTTGGATTTAGGTTCCTTGGATTTGTGAGAATTCCAGTTACCCGCATTGTTACCTTTTGAAACCGGTGATTCAGACGGCTTGCGAGGAGGTTTTTCTGGTGCTTTACTGTCTTTTGAACTTGCTGTATTCGATTTAGACGACTCCGACGCGGTGGTCTTCTTCGCGCTGGTTTCCGAGTCTTTCTCCTCGGTTTTTATCGTGATAAGTTCACGAGAGTTCGGTTTTACCGTCTTGTCTTTTGAGTAAGGTGAACTAGACGTTCGCCTAGGCGACCTAGAGCGAGAACGAGTCGCCGGCATGCTACAAAAGTTGACGAGAAACTGGGTGCCTCGAAGAGCCAGACAGCTGTCTCACGAAGATGGCGTCGAACGAAAGAACAAACCACGTGGTGGAACCGACAAGTATCCCAGAGTGCCTTGCGAGGTCACGAGGGTGAAGTTTGCAGAAATGGCCGCGAAGATAGCCTTGAAGTGCGTAATATAAAACTCGGGCAAATCGAGTGTTTATTTTTTTGTTGATTCCGATTTCTCTACTGGCTACGGTTTCAATAAACATTGCCTTTTCTTTTTGTCTAAACAGGATAGCCCCTGTGCTGGAAAACAAAGAACGCGAGGAAGTTTTGGATCACGAGGTAGACGATCTCAGCGCAAGTGACGACGAGGTTAGAAAAATTTGTCCGAATTAGTGCTAAAGATGCAGACTTGCTGTGACATTAATCTTTTAAGTTCCCTTTTAGAACTGATCGGTCCGTGATTGAAGTCTTTAATTGGTTATTTGTGGATTGTTTAAGCTTGGTTTTCCACGCGATTGACTTGGTATATTGCACTTCCATTTCGTACAAACCCGCAATTATGGCATAATAAAGACATATTGTGGACTTCGACACGTGTGCCAAAATACGATGTTTTGGTGACATAACTTATGAAGACGAAAGTAGTAAAGCTGATAAAGTGACAGAACATGAAATATACCAAGTATTTGTGAAAATAACAAACGTATAAGATGTAATTTGATACACTTAGCTGTGATAAGTCCAGTGAATGTTACGTAACCTTAATAAACACTTAGCACCCACTTCGTTGTAGAGCTAACACAGTTCCACTTAACACCAATTACAATCTTCCGATTTGAACTTCTAACAAATTCCCTGCCAAGGGCGGAAGATTCCATCAAACTGTAGGGTAATCAAGGAATTTCCGAAGGAGGGTAAGGAGGGGATGGCTTTCTCGAGCAACTAACTGGCACAATGAAATTGAAAGCCAAGTATAACCATTACAGGGCAGAAGAAAACCTAGGTCCAATTTCAAGTAAATAATTTTTTGCTCTTGAGCAAGTGAAAATGGAAGTTTCTGAGGACCAGTGGACGAGTGAAACAAGCCTTGGTAGTCTTTTTAGATAATTTCCAATCAAAAACAATGTCAAAACTTGAAACTGCAAGATGGGCAAAATATGAGTTGGAAGCAGGGATTTCTTTAAAATCCCAGCATACTTTGTATCTGACACGACATTTGTGTCACTGTCCAGTATCTTTCACCAAGTTCAGTACCAGTAAGCTCATTTTGTTATAGTTGACTATCACTGACTATAGACAGTACCCATTAAATGGTGTAGTCGATAAGGTATGAACATTGTGTGCCTATTGGGCCAGTAATATTTCAGTGGGGCAACTGAAAACTGAAATGAACTGGTCCACTGGGCAACTGGATTTCAAATTTTTTTCCTACCCTGCATCAGTTGCAAGTTCTGGACTTGTTCTAAAATAGTATAAGCAAGAAGAATTTATTATTTTTGTTTCATTTCATGGTACCACAGAAATAAATTTTCTTCTCTTTACACAGAAAGATAGTGGAGATGAAGGAAAACATGAAAATCTCCTACAGGCAATCAAGTCATTGTCATCCAGTGGAAAGAAGAAGTATGTTTACTTGAAGTCAAAGTTAAATCAAAATACAGTGCTAGCATTAATTTAATTAGTAAAAATAAAGCTGTTTGTATCCTTGTGGTTCAAAGGCCTGCTGATTAACTCGAGTTTGGTTAGCAGTTTTCTATTGCTCTAGGATGGAATGCTGGTGCATTAGCCTTGGTAGCACAAGAGTTTTTTCGCATAGGGCATATGAAAACTTAGGGAAGAGCAAACATTTAGGAGGAGGGGAAACAGAGATGAGAGGGGGACGCTTGCCTGCAAACCTAAATACAATAGTTGAGCAGTTCCAGAAGATATCCATGACCACTGCAAGGAGTGTTACTTGAAATTCTGAAGTAGATGTTGGATGTGGGTTGCTTCTCCCCTCCTTGATCAGTTATTTGCTCTCACTTCAATGATCGTGGACCCAAAATGCAAAAATGTTTGATAGAAGGTAGCCTACAAATGCAGACATATTTAAGCTACCCCAAGTCACTCCACTATATTTACCAAATTGCCCCAATATACTTTGTAGCACCAGTTGGTGTCAATTTAGTTTATTCCTGAGGTTAACTGTGTTGATAACTTATTCTTGTAGTGGTACAAGGTCACATATTTGTATATTTTGCAGTTGTATGGTTATCAATTTTGCTGACGTGATAAATATGTTTTTTTAACAGGCAAAGGACATTAGGCCAACGATCAGAGCCAAATAAGACAGTGTCTGAGTTTCATTTAAGTGCTGTTAAAGGTACTCTTTCGTGAACACTATCCAGTTTATAAACTGAAGTTCCTTGGAGTAAAATTACCTCACTCAATGCTCTCTTGTCCAGAAATAATCCCATCCATGTCACCTTAACCTGATACCAGGGATTAAAATATATATTAGCTCTCAATAGCTTTGGATAAAAATATTTGTTAATTAGCAGACCATGTATCCTTAAAAACCTTTTGTCTGTATTTATATCATCTTTAGCCTTTTCAGTCCAGATCCTTGCAAGAAACTTTTAATAACTCCAAGAAGGCAATCTAGCTCACCTCTGAGACAGATTTTATGTTTTGCTTTAGTGACACAAGTGGTTAATACAGTGTATAAAAAATTATGCTAAATTTACTTAGTCAGTAAATAATCAGTATCTTAGCAAATCACTTCAGATAATTTATCATCTTTCAGGGCTCGGAAAAACACTTGAATTCTAGCTTGCCCTTAGGACAAGTATCCCTCAAATAGTGCTTGCCCTGGGCAAGTCTCAGTTTGCTCTTTTAATGATTTAGTTGACAGACAACTTGCCTGATCCTTTGCCCGGGGGCAAGTGACAATGAAACATTACTTGCCAAGAAGGAAAACCTACTTGTCTCGGACTACCAGAGAGCACTTTTTTTGAGCCCTTATCTATGAAATAAATGCATTAGTTAAGCAATAGGTGGTAAGTAGGTTCATGATTTTTATTCCTGCAGATAGCAAGCAACAAGTTGACTTAAATGATCTCATTGGATCTTTGAACAAAAGCAATGAGTATGGCAATCTCAAGAAAAAGTTGGTAAGAAAGTAATCTCAGTGCTAAATATTTTATCAATTTTTTACAATAAAAACTTGTTTATATCAGCTCTCTGGAATGGTAAAATGGGAAACAATGGACAGCAGTCCTCATGAGCACTCATACCAATTGACTTAAGATGGTCTGACTATATGTGGCTAAATTTAATTAATACTTGGATGAACTCTAGACAAATGCAGGCGTAGGCTGTTGCTTCCACTTTGTCGTGGAAAATGTGCACTTGCCAACTAATCTGATACATGTACATAAAGCCCACCAAAAATTGTTCTTGCTTCAAAGTTCGAAAGGTACATATTATAATACATGTAGCTGCACTGTTTAGTTTTTCAAGTGTTCATTTATTTCCTCAGAGAGACTAGATCATGATTACATTAGTGAAACAAAACTGTGTATTGATTGACTTTGTAACAAAAAATAACTGGCGCAAATACTTGAAGTAGCTGTTAGTACCTGGGAAAAACACTCCCTTGATATACTGCAGCGTTCATAACTGCCGCAGCTATTTTTATTACAATGGTTAATTAGTTTTTTCATTCCATCATATTTCAGGACAGTATGCAGAGAAATTCAGGTACTCTTGATGTTCCTTTACCAAAGCCAGAGGCACAGAAAGTAAGTCAAATATATTGTTTATACCCCCCCCCCCTGATCAAATGCAGCATGCAACAGTGTGAACTTCAGTGCTTCAATCCATAAATCAAAATTAAAAGAGTTATTTTTGCATAATTGCCAACATGACAATGCCAATCCAAAATTCATCCTAGAACTTGAAATATTTGCAAGGATGTATAGAAAAGTTTATTTTAATTTATGTGTGTGTTGCCAAAGAACACAATTATGGATAAACCTAAAAGGTTACAAAGTATGATGTTGTTGAAGATATTTTTGCTACTCTAATTCTCCAATCTTTGTTTCTCCAGATTCAACGTACTATCGCATATGGAGAAACCAAGAAAGATATTGAGAAGTGGACACCAACTGTAAAAAAGAACAGAGAGGTAACAAATGTTCAGTTGTTTTGAAATCAGAGATCTGTTCTTTACAAGAATTCTGTCAGCCATTATAAGTGTACATTTTAGTAACAACTCCTCCTTTTGGTAGAGATTGTAATTGTCTGTTTTGATATGTGTTTTCAGGCTGAACATTTGTCATTTCCACTTAAACCATATGAACCACCTGTGCCAACACTGAGAGGTTTAGCAGTAAATTTCAAGGTAATAAGTAGTTTTAAAAAGGTGTAGTGTAATAAATGTATAACTGCATCTTAATGTTAGCTTAGTGTGCAAGTTCTCTTAATCTAATGTAATTTGTCTTTAGGAAAAGTAAGTGATGATTTTGCCTATTGGATTTACAAACTCAAGTTGTAAATCATATACAATGTAGATCCAGCATCTACATAATTTTTTGTGGTTCATCAAAAGCTTGAATATGTTAGGTCATAAGTGTTTTCAGTGGGTTTTCTTGTGTGTTCCAGTTTTTAGCCACTTAATTTAACATACATCTTATTTTATTTATTTAGTTATTTTTTTTGTACTTGAGCTTGTTGATATTGGCAAATGGTCAGATCTTTATTATCTGAGCAACTTTTGAAAGTATTCTCTAAACACCAGGAACTGATTTTGGGACTTCAAATAATGGCTGGTCAACGGAGGATGTCCGGTCAAAAATAGGTTTTGTCCGGTCAAATCCTTAGATGGCCAGACAATTTGTCTGGTCGTTTACACTCAAGGAAAAAATTTAGAGTTTCGTGTTTGAAATATTTAAAGGTTCAATATTATTGGCGTTTGTGAAAAAGGAGGGAAAAAGGCGAATACTTAACTACCAGACCAAGAACTTTTAATACATGATTCGTAATAGTCATAAAATTTCCGGCTATTGTTGCAAATTTTCACACAAATGTGATAATGATTTTGCTGTACCACGGGTTCCATTTTTCCTGCATTGAGATCGATGCTCGTGTACAATAAAATGCTTTGAAAATTTACTTGTTTCATATTTAAACATCATGCGAAGGGGGGAGGGGGCACTTTTATAGTGATAAGATGTAATCACTGTTTGTCCTGCCAAAAATGGGATATGTCTGAGCAAAAATAGGTTTGACCAGACAATTTGACCGGCACCAGCCGGGAAATTATTTAAAGCCCTGGATTTACAAAAAGTTGGTGGATTGTGGTTGGTCAAACGGTACAAAACAAGTGACTGGTACTTTTATTTCAGTATGAAGTGACCTACATGTAGACGGCATGGTCTACTGTTATTTCCTAAGTGTATCTTACAATTGAAGGTCACTGCTTCTGATTGTTAGGAGAGGTTTGTGGATGTTTCAGTTTTGTTGTTGCACGTGGCATAAGGGCAGCCACCCCTTTTACAGAGGGTTGCTCCCCTTATGCCTCATGTGACAACAATGTGCTCTAAGTATATGACATTCTCTACCTTGACATATGCATGCTACAGGGTTGACATTAAGAGCTGTGACCCGTAACACCTGTTAGGCTGAGTAAGCTTGATTTTCCCCCGATGTTGCGAGTGAAATTGCCTGTTGATAGAATTCAACCACAAAGTAACGAGTTTGCTACGGGTGTGGAGAATGAGGCTGCAGGTGACTCAAAACTTAATGACAGTCCTGCGTACTATTTAAATAAATAAATAAATAAATATACATTTATATAGCGCCATTTTCCACTAATTGTCCATGGCGCTTTACAATACTTTAAAATTAAAATCCTAATTCTT